CCCATGAGCATGGGAGACCTTCCATTTTCTGACATCTTCTTTAAGTTTTTTCTTCAATGTCTTAATGTTTTTCAAATCTTTTGCTTGCTTGTTTAGAGTTACCGTAAGACATTTTATATTTTGGAGGCTGCTGTGAAATGTGTGTATGATTCCTATCTCAGTCCATTTGTCATTTGTATGTAGGAAGGCTACTGATTTTTGTGAGGCAGATTTGTATCCTGATACATTGCTGAAAGTATTTATCAGTGGTAGGGGGTTCCTGATGGAATTTTTAGGATCACTTATGTCCACTATCATATCATCTACAAATAAACACACTTGGACTTCTTCCTTGGCTAACTTTACCCCCTTCGTCTCCTCCTGTTTTCTTATTGGTCTTCAAGTACTATATTGAATAGGTATGCAGAACTTGGACAACCTTGTCTTCTTTCTGATTTTTATAGAATTACTACCTCCTCCCTGGCCTGTGTGGCTAGTAGATTCCCAGAGAATGTGTGCTCAGTCATGTCTGTTTTAAGATCCACCAGCTGATGACATTTTATGGCTTCAGCCTCATGCCAGGAGGAAAAGTGAAGATGGGCTGTTTCCCAGTGGGGTTTTAGTCTGTTTTCTAATGGGAAAAACACACCTTAATATCTGAACTCAGGAAAACTTAACAGCTATGGACCCGTATCTATTTCAATATCCTGTGTCTGAGGGATCATCAGTCGTGATAGGGCTGTGCTTCTGGCTCCCTGTTTGCCTACCCATTTCATCTCCACCCCCTACACATCTCTTTACCTCTTTCTCCCCAGAAACTCTTCCTCACTGCGTGGTTTGTAGCCCCTTCATTTGCATCTCTCCTCTATCTGAGGACTGTCTCCAATGAGAACATCTAGAGTCTTTTCCATTGCTGAGGACCCTAACCTTTATCTACTGAGGGATCTTGGTCTCAGAGAGTCTCATTGCTTGCTATGTGTGCTCATCTCTGTACCTTTGTTGGCATGTACTGATGTTCTAAGGCTTGTCTTCTCTATGCTATGTTGCTCGGCCCCTCTGCATATTAAAACATGCATGGAGTGAAGTGTGTGTAGTTGGCATTCGGTAAACCATGAGTGAACTGGACACTCGGATATAGTTACTTTTACTAATGCCAATCAGCTGCTTTCAATTTCCCACCGGTTACGGTTCTCACCATCCCTGCCTTAGCCCTCAGAAATACCTCTTCATCTACTAAAAATCTAGGACCTTTTTCAAGGATATCTACCCACTTGATGCATTCTTCTATTTCTAAATCTTTTAATATTAATATGAAAGAATCTATGTATTTAATATATAAATATAAATATCCACTGCTTCTTAAAGATGAACCCTTTCCTCCCTTTCTTCGTTCTAATAACTTACCATTGCAAGTTTTTCTGGGTCTTTTCTCATGCGGTGTCTTCTCTGCCTTTTTTCTCTGATTCATCCTCTTTGACAGTGTTTCACTGTGCAGCCCACACTTTCGCTGACCTCATAATCATGCAGCCGAGACTCCTAAGTGCTAGGGTGGCGGGCAGGGCCACCTTCGCCTTTTCCTCTTCAATCTCTAATCTCTTCTCCACTCAGCCTTCTCAGAAAATGGACTGTTTTTAATTATCTGTGATGTGGTCTTTTTTTTTCCTCCTTCTTCACTATAAAATAATCTCAGACACTGGGTGATTTCTCCAAGAAAAGAAATTATTTCTTCTTGGTGCCTGAGGGCAGAAGTCAGGAATCGAGGGGCAGTAGCGGATGAGGGTCCCTCTGCTGCGTCCTCCACAGTGCTGTGTGGAGCAGAGTAGGGTGGTGGACATGGGAGGATGAGGCAGGAGCCGAGGATGCTGAAGTGGCCTGTCCAGCATTCCACTCTCCACGCCACCAATTCCCCTCATGAGGACAGCCTTAATCACTCTTAAACACCCCACTCAGCAGACCAGTACATTGAACAGTACATTTCAGCGTGTGCTTGTGTGCCAAATCGCTTTCTCAGGCCTAAAAATTATGAGTCTTTCAGTGCTAATCTTACTTTGTTGCATTTTCTTTGACCACCTCGCAGAAGAGGGAGCAATGCTTTACTTCTCTTGGCCTGCTACTGTCTTTGTTACTCGATTCGTGGCTTCTGTCTCCTTTTCTATGGAGACCCCCATTTTCTGATGCTGACTACCTTTGGGCAGATTCCAGTGTTCTCTCCCATCTAATACGGCCTCCTCCTTGCCTATCATGTTTCCCCTACATGATGATCAACCCATTTATCATTTCAGCCTTTCCAGGCTTTTTGTGCTACTTCTGATTAATTTCCACATCACCTGAGCTGGAGTTTATGGGATTTTTCAAACTATTCATTCAGCGTGTACAATATCAAGTACCATAGCTTCATATATAGCAGGCCTTCAGTGGATACTATTTAAATGAATAACAGTCCTATCCTGATAGTCATTTATATTACTTTGAGTCACTTTGCCCTGGTTTCCAAAATCCAATAGGTTAGAACAATGGCCATTTGTAATATATTTCAATATAACGTATTGGTTTTCGGGGATTTGGGCAGGGCTCAGCTAGGCATTTATTCTGACTTTGTGACACATGGTGAGGACCCTCAGTGTGCTTCTGGGTTGGTCTCAGCAATGGTGGCTGGAAAGCTGGGCTTCATGTGTTCTAGCCCCATCCCACCTCACTGACTCTCTCCTGAGACAGACCTAGGGAGCTGAGCTTCTGTTCTGCTTCCTCTATTGTCTGAGGAATGCGTTCTAGAAGGCAGGAAGTGGCCGTCATGCTGTGGGGCCTGGTTGGGCCACTGGAGGCTGTGACTTCTGTTGTGTGGTTTGCTGCCTGGTGCCACTACTGAGCAGCCCAGACTCACAGGGCAGAGGGCCCCATCATCATGGGGTGGGGCTGCAAGTTCAACTCTGAGACCGTTCTGACCAGCCGTACTTACTCATTAGCCATCCTTTGCCCTTGCTTTTTCCTCATGATGCCCAAAGCCAATTCCTTTCATTACTCTGAACAACTGCAATAACTTTAAATAAACTTATTCAACATTCTGTTGAATAACAGAACAATTACCCAGCCAGACTGTTTTATTTTTCTGTTTCTTATGCATTTCTTCCAGGGTGATTAAACTACAGTGGTGTGTGGCCTTACAGTTAGGACCTCACACCTTACCACAATGTTCTTTCCATATTACATAACCTATATCCAAGCTCTTCCTCCGCTCTCTGTATTATCTGGTGTCTGTATCAAATACAGAAGAGAATTCTAGGACAGATGTTCACTGCCATGTCTCGCCTGCTTACCCACTCCTCGGATGCTTTCTCGTCCTCTCCCCTTGGTGTGGAACGACTTTCCCGAAATCCCTGTCGTTTGAAATCCTCTTGATCCTTCAATACTAAATTCCAGTCTGAATCCTCTGCGAGCCTCCCCTTGATCCCTCTAAATGGCAGGGGCTCCCTGTCTTCACTCCCAAGGCACTCTCCTTCTGAAGTTAGGAGCTGGAGTTGTAGTTATTTGCACAAGTTTTCCTTGTGTTAGAGTGTGTTTTGTTCACAGTCTTGAAGGTGGCTCAGTTTCTAGCCTCATCCTTTCACCCTACCTGCTATTGCTCAGTTCATGTTATATTGGATTCCCACTTGGTCACAAGTTTTGCAGATAAATCATCCCTAAATTTATATTGCCATTAGAATGATTGACAAGAATTAGGAGCCATATCAATAATCAGATTGTTGCTGAAAGGCAAAGACTGTGGCCTTATTAAATAGGATCTATGAATGATTAAGAGTGATAGAGTTACTGTGTGTCAACTCTGTTTGCACAAGCAGGCCAAGACAGACTTACAAGGAAAGCCCCAGCAATGATCACAACGATTAATCACCACTCCTTAAGAGGGGTGTGACCTAAGAGAACTTAAATGCTAATTGTCTCAGATTTAGCTCATTTATTCACACACCCATACACATACTTCCACATCCATACACACACAGTCTATAATATGCACATATACACACCCATACACACACACAACATATATTTCCACACCTATATACTTAACAATCTATACTATACACACACACAGACATGTACAAATTCATACACTCACTCCACACACACATTGCACACCAACATACCCATAAATCCATACTCATGCACACACATTCATACACACATATATGCACACACATCCACAGCCATACACACACACCAATACTCACATATCCATTAGAATACACTCACACATCTGCATCCATACACATGCAATCTACACTATACATACACATGTGCACTCATACACAAGCAATCTACACTATACGTACACATGTGCACTCATACACAAGCAATCTACACTATACATACACAT